GGGATTGGCCATGAAAGCTTGCAGTAGGCTACTACAAGTTTTCATGGCCAATCCCCCAGAAAAAGTATATGCCAGTGGGAACAGGCCACAAAAAGAAAACAAAGCCTCTATGTGATACACTAATTGTGAACCTAGCAAAAAAGTACAAAAAACAATAGAAAATTATCTTTCAAGAATAAAAATTCATTTAGCAGATAAAGATGGATTGGTAGAAAAAGAAAGCTAATAATATGTCAAAATACAAAAGTTTTGAGTAGACCTGACAGTTGAGTTTACCTCACCCGATCGGACTTGAACTATTGCGCAGCTTTATTTCTCATTATCAATCATATCAAAAAATTTTGTGAAAAACATATTATGACGTCGGGACTGACACAGCAGTAATTCAGCCCAAGGGCTCAGCAGCGAACGGTCAGTCTGAGACAGCGCGTGCGCACACACGATGATGTTAGGTTGTGACACCTAATGTAGATGAGGAGAGAGACATAGACGAATGATGATAATTACGGTAATGCATGTATGAGAAGGAGCCCGTAACAAATGCCCACAATATTTAAGGAGGCGTTATTTTGACATGCGTTTAGACTCTTGAATAAATGGCATAGTGCATCAAATATGTTTTTGCGACAAAGTCCCAAGCCGGAGGCACCGAAACTGAGAACATTACCTGTAGGTAAATTTAAACGCACTGTGGAAAACGGCATTTTTTATAAGTATTTTCTTATGAATGAATAGTTATGAAGTGATATAAAGTATTTCTAAATTGTTCCTGTTTCTTCGCAGAACAGGCACAGTGGAGATATCACAAGACCAGCTGTGTATAAAAAACAATAACTGGAGAAACGACAACAAAATTTGGTTAAAATAACTTCTAAGTGTCTACATTGACTCCGCTGAGGTTTACAAGAATATGTCAGGTGCTGATAATCCGTTCATTCAGTAAGAACGTTCATCATCTCAGTAATAATAGCTAATTTTCTATATCGGATCGATACTATGTGTTATATTGCGGGGAGTACAGAGATCTGATGACCATCAAACGAAGCTCGGGCTAACGAATCGGACATATCATTGTGCTGTAACGAAGCTCGGGCTAACGAATCAGCCATATCATTCTGCTGCATGCTGCTGTGGTCTGGCACTCATACTAGCTTCGGGAGCTTCAGTTAATGTAGAACTAATGAGCGCAATGTCAGTACGGATCTTGGTTGTTCCGAAGCTGTGAAAGCAGTAAACACCGAAATATAATCTGCAATCATGGCTGCACTGACTACTTTTAAAGGCAGTTTTTGAAGCACCAAGCTCATAGTCAGGAGATCAGCTTCGAAAACCAGAGTGAAGTCTGGCAGTCTTACTGAGAACGACTAACCGAGGTGATCAGAGGTCATTCCTAATGCTGCTTTTTCGTCAATCACAGAAGCGTCTGTGGCTATCACGTTCTTTGTTTCTGCATGAAGTATGCAATCTTTTAACCTGTTAATAAAAAACTTGAGGATTAGAACTTCGATTGAGGGAGGACACTTTTATTTTATGCTATTGTAATATTGTGAAACGCAACATTGGTTTAAAATACCAAGCGTATGTCCACCCTTATGCTGTGCAGTTGTTTTTACAAAAATAATCTGGAGAGTACGAAAGCGTGGCCAGTGAGTGAGAAATGAGGCATCGGGGTCACAAATAAAGCATTTTCACATAGTCTAGGCCATATTCTTTATTATTTTAGCAATTTTTGTTTAGTTTGGATACGAAATCGGCAAAGAATAGTCCGCATGCGAGGTTCCTGATACATCACATTATTAGTGGCGTACCTGGGGAGTCTCAAGCACAAACATAGCGCTTCTCACTCCAACAGAACTAAAGGATTTGTTTTGTACACAGGCCCACCCGGAAATATTATACACTCAAATTATAGTATTGCGTGCATGTACATCTTGTACATCATTAGCAAAGAAGGGGTACGTAAGCCACATTTCCTGTTGTTCGAGCAGCGCAATAAGCCCGATTGTCATTGTGCCTTTGCGGGGATATATTCTATGTGAGGGCTCCAATTAAGTTTCCTATTATAAATAATGCCTAATTATTTGATAGACTCTACTTGTGAAATCGATTCCTCTTTATACAGTACAGAATTCTGACTAGAATATGCTAGTGGAAATAGCAGGAGAGCACTTTTACTGATGTTTGGAGACAATTAAATTGACTGCAGCCAAAGTTCGAAGGAATACATATACGTTTTCAATTTTTGGTGCAAAGAATAAATATCTATGCCTGCAGCAAAAAACGCACTATTTTCTGCATGAATGAAGACAATGATATCTCTTTCAATAGGAAGAAAGCTCATCAGAACATTGAATTATAGCGGAGATAGTACAGCCCCCTTAGGAACTCCGCGTTGCTGTTTGAATTTAGATGATCGGCGTTCATCAACTGCACAATCAAATTCTCTTGATTTTAGAAACTCCGCTAACTACTCAACAACATATTGCAGAAAGTTCCAGCACTGCAACGCAATACATAAAATTGAATGCTCGGAGCTGTTTTAGGTTTTAGCTATGTCTAGTGTTTTTAGATTGCGTAGGGCCTTCTTTTTTAGGCAAGCTGCATTCGGCCCTCTTATTCAGCATGAGCACACCAAATCGAACGTTTGCTACGAAAACCAATTTGTTGTGGCTTCAATAGTAGCTTGTCTGCCATCCAAGCATTTATTTTGTTACCTAAAACTCTCTCTATAACTTTCATCATGTGAGATGTTACAGAGATGGGTCTGATATTGTCGATCTTAAAACATTACCCTTGTTTTTGTTATGTGAACTACTGTGGCCATTTTTGACTTGGTCTATCCAGATATTGCTGAAAAAATAGGTTATAAGATTGAGGACGTCACTGGGCGATACTTTAAATAAAATTCTAATCACAGGAACAGTTATACTATCAGGACCAGAAGCAGACGAGGGCGCGTTATTAATCACACTTGACACTTCAGACAAAATCACTTTCTTGAAGTCATTCTTTATGAGAGATCTTTTCCAGTTTATTGAAAAAGCTGAAGAAAATCTATTTGCTAGACCTCTACCGATTGGCTCTAAAGAATTCGCCATTTATTCCGACAATAACCTGCCAAAATCAGAGTTTTCTAGATACGGCAGGATTTTGCTCGATCTCATATATTGAAATAACGCTTTTAAAAACAGTTGTCTTTCTTGGGGTACTTCAACGCGAATAGTTTGGTCTCTCTAAATCTCTTTTTGTCTGTCTGTTTGTATATTTGTCTGCTTGGCCACCGTAACAATACCCAAAATGCACCAAACGATACCTAAAGCACCAACCCCGGCGATCCGCAGTGCCCACCAATAATGCTGAAGTACTGCTTCGTTCAAAGTACTAGTCTTAGTTTTATCGTTGTCTCAGTGATAACTTGCATTTACGCATCTTTTTTGTCTTATACTTCTCCCTGTTTCATGAAAGATACCTTTCCTTTTAGAAAGCCAGAACTAAGTCCAAGAACTTGAAAGGGCATAGAAAACAATAGTGGCTGCTCAATGAAAGCGTGCGCAATTTGACTACAGGAGTGCTGCAGCCAAGTAGTGCAAATGTTAAATAAATTAGGAGCGTGAAGTGCCGCAGTCTTCAAAGTGTACTTAGATAAATTAGTATTACAAAATATTTATAAGAAAAATAATAATGACAAGATGTTAGATGTTGTGAAAACGAAAACACTCATTTTCGGTTTCGCAAGCATTCATCAGGGGTTGGAAAAATGATGATAACATTTGAGCAACTAAAGATCGCTACATAAATTTTTCTCTAACAATTGATGAACGAAGGGGGAAATCGAAACTGTCGAATTTCCTAATTCTTTTTTTTTCAAAAACTGTGTTTGAAGGTTGTGACCTCCCTTAATTTCACCATTGTAAATGTTGTAGCAACACACCGGCAGCAATGCATAGATAGGTGTGCCACCACAGGCTATGTAGCAAACATCTCCTTTGAATGGGATTATGCAAAAACACACAAAAAGATTTGTATTTTTTCAATTCATTTCCGTTCGATTTCTAAAGTTATGTGGCTGATGGTCCAGGTGTCATACTTGTTCCCTCTTCACTAATTGTTTTTCATTTTTATGCGACAGCAAATACATGGGCACTCTCGGCTGGATTTCGCCGCCGGCTTCGACGTCGGCATTGCCATCATTCACCGTATTTTTATGTATGTACGTATGTTCGTATATATATATATATATATATATATATATATATATATATATATATATATATATATATATATATATATTTAAAAACGCATGAAAGAAAAATTATCCCGAAAAAGTGTGTGAGGTGTTAACCATTTAGACACGGAGAAGCACTTCGTTCAAAGTTCAAATCGCAAGCGATTTATATCTACCACTTACCGCTAGTGACGGGCGTCTTGTTAGGGGAATATCGCGTTTAGAGCCTTACCAGGCAAATGGGGCATTGAGCGCGCGCCGCAACATAGTGACGATGCGGCAGCGCGATCTTTCATCTGCCATGCTCTCTCGCACGCCCTTATCTCGTGGGGTGGAGGACCGTACGTCTTCCCTGGTCTAGGGTTTTCACCGGAACAATTCTGTTGTTGTTACTGGGCGCACAAATATCGCTGCAGTCATTGGAAAGTCTTCGTTTTGAAAAAGAGCGCGGTTTTCAGACTCAACAAAGTAACAACTGAAACGCTTATTCGTGTTCATTTGTACCTGTGAGTACGTTTTGTGCGTCATTTGTGCGTGAGAAACATGGGGCACGTTTTGATCTGCTTGCCATTCTGCGCATGACCTTCCAATTTGATGCTGTCGCGTACATGCCTTTGCGTAAAGCTGTGACTTTATTTCTCCTGCGTTTTATGAGAAATGCCGACTATTCACTATCTTAGATTTGGATGGTATAGAATGCGGAGAACTTTCTTGGTTAAATATATTCCGAAAAGAATGCTCGCAATGACAATTGGTCGTTAAATGTCTGCCTCACCTGGTCTGATGGCGGATGTGGCACCAACGGCACCAACAATGCAGGGAATTCCGTACTCGCGCGCCACCACAGCTCCTGCAATGCGGAAGGAACGCAATACCTGAGACACAACAACAGGTTATAATTGCGCGAACACCTTAAGCGAAAGACTTCGAAAGATACGCGGGGACCATTTGTAAGCCGTGCACACTATTCAATGACGAGGGCTTGCCACCGCCACAGACTGAGGGCACTAAGGGCAAGGCATTGCTCGACAGGCATCGCTATATCGCGATGTCCACTGGGTGAATGGGCCGCATATTGTAGAGTGCACAGTTTGGGCCTCCGTTTCTTGTGTAAGCGGTGTCGGTATTGGCATTGTCGGCTTCGTCGTAACCATTAGATCGAACGAGGAAGAAAGAACACGACCTCTATCTTCAGCTAACGTGGTTGCTTGGGCGAGTTGGTACTACATGATTCACTTAAAAAACAGTGCCAATAACGAGGGACAAGAGAAAGAAGGAGACAGACAGCGGCACTGTGACAGACAGCGGCACTCTATCTTCAGCCACTCGTCTCTAACTTTGCTTTCTTCCGCAGGCGCCATGGTGTAGCTTCCATAACCAGCCAGAACACAAGCTAAATGTAGCCAAAGTTACCGAGCCAGTAGGTATTGTTGCTAGATTTATAGCCATATGATAGAAAATTAGCATCATGACGGATTTTTTATAATAAAGATTGAATGACATGCCCCTGATATTACAATAAAGAAGAAAGGATAGTGCAGTTCTTTTCTCTGCTTGAGTTTTTTCTAAGCCATACGAGTGTTGCTAATGTGAACAAACTGTGAGTTCCCTCAACCTTCTTGTCAAGCTGTCGATGTACAGGATATGTTTTAACTGACAGAGGCAGAGTAAGATTGAAAAATTCCAGTTCATTCGGTAAAATATTCGCAAAAGCAAGTCATGCTTGAAGTCACCGACTGAAAAAGATTAGTATATATAATAATGCCAGTCCGTTTTCAGTGAGTGAAACATTGTTGAGCATGACAAGTACAGCTTCATTCGGGTACGGATATCCTGTTTCTCAGTTTCACACAAAGACACATAATTTGTGACGGCATTAAAAACTAACTCATGTGTAGCGAGAGAGGAAGACAGGACGGCGGCCAAAGCGGTCGTGTCGGTGTCTCGCCACTTTATTATATAAGGCGATTTGCCCAAGTGGAGCGGTGGCGGCTGCCGCGTCCAAACCGCCAGGCGCGTGAGCTGTAGCATGAGCCACACGAGAGGCGCAGCGCGGTGGTAAGAAAAATGGCGATGATGATGAATGGTGATGATGATGCTACAAATTAATCCCCCCCCCCGCAAAAATGAAGCCAAAATTAAAAACGATGGGGTGTGTATAGAAGATGGTTCGTGACACGAGACAGTGTCCGCAGACAGTCCAGATCGTCAACGATAATGGTGTATCGGGAACCAGTAACTCTCTGGCGGGCGGCTCTTGAAGAACCGCAGCGTACGTAGAAGTGGCGCAAAGTACGCTGTGTTTTTACTCAGGTGGGCTCCACGACAACATGATGGAGCCTTTAGGTAGTGCACCGGGTCTCGCCAGTGACCGCGGCTAACAGCGGTTTCCGCAGATGCAGTTGTGGGTGGGTGCAGACGTCGGTGGTGGCAAAAACCAGCCTCGGCGTTTTATATCGGCTGGCGTAGTGGCACGGTATACGAGTAAACGAATGCGGAAACGTCGTGGTCGAAGAACCATGCCGTGCGCAATGAGAGTAGTGATGAGGCTTGCGGCACGTGGTAGGTAAGTGCGTCGGGTAGAGGTAGAAGACCCTTGCGCTGTGTCGAAGGTCATGCCTGCATTCAAGGTGAAGCCTTGCTGGTTCACGTCCGCAGTGAAGAACCCCGGAGGAGTGATGTCGGGGAACAGAGCACGTGAGAACTCTGAATGAGACGCAGTCGGCGGACATGGGATCGTGAAAGTACCGTTGGAAGTCTGCGAAAGAGAGTTGGTGTTCAGTTCAGTATGCAGAATATCTGTCTCCGCGGCAGGCGTGGTATGTGCGGGCTGCTGTGGTGTAGGCGAACGAGGCACGTCGTCCGCAGGCGCATCATTAATGATGACAGCGTCTCGGAAGTTCGGCCGTAGTGGTTGAGCGGCTCGAACTTCAGCTGCGCGAGACTCTGAGGGTGATGCTGGTCGCTTCTGGCAAACCGCACAAAGCGTCGAGGTCGACGCAAGGTCGCGTTGGTCGGACATTGTCGATGGCGAAATCTCCGCGAGTGAGCATCGAACAGCGGTCGGTGTGATGTCCGTGTCATACTTCATGGCATGCTGCAAGGTAGCCAGCGGTCGCAGAGTCTGACGGCTCCGAGACATCACAGGCAATCGAAGTCGGGGAAGACGTGTGGGTTGCAGGCATGTGTGATGGACCTTCACGTAAGGTTTCGAAGAAAGATCAGTCAAAGTAGGCGCATCTTCTAACTCGTCAGGGGGGTCGGATGCATGAATGGATGCTCCTGTAGACGAATCTAACGTAGAAGGAGTCGTAGACGGGGACGTGAGGTCTTTGTCAAGGTAGGGCTGCGGGCCGTCTGGTACCACGGAGGGGAAACATGAAACTCGCGGCTCTCCAGAAGCAGGCGGTTGCTTCCACCTTATCAGGCGAGCACCGCAGCGCAGAGGTCGTCGAAGGGTCGCGGACTCGTTTATGACTCGGCGGCTAGAGAGCAGTGGCCATGGAACTCGAGTGGAGAAAGGCGAAGATTCACTGTGATCGCAGGCTTACATTCATTGAGACTTTTCACTAAACAAATCTCTTGTTCACCGAGTCAACCCCTGCTTGTTCAACACCTAGTTTCAAGTGGTAAAAGTGCTGGGTACATCTGGTCTTCTGCGCTAGCGCTCTCCGGCATCGCGACTCCCCCATATTTAGTGGCTCAGATGACCAAATAATGGGAAACTAGATTGCTGTGTATGAACTGGTGAGCGCATAAAATAAGTGGAACGCGACCGATGAGCTCACAAATGTGAACTTCTACCTGGCCAACGTGGCAAAACTACGGTGCATGAATCATCCAAGTGATTTCAGCACCTAGTCGGAAATTGCTAAAACCTTCCAGGAAGTCTTTGGCCGTCCTGCTGTCCACCACCTTCGTGATCAACAGCGCTTGCGTGGTAGAGTACAGAGGACAGATGAGACTTTCACGAGCTACATCAAACATGTGCTCTTTCTTTGCAAGCTTGTCAAATTGACTCAGGACGAGACAGCCAAAAAAACCAAGAACATCATGAGAGAAATCAATGACGGCGCATTCCAAATGCTTGCTGCGAAGAGTCCCCAGACGGTCGCCGAGGTGATTCAGCTCTGTCAAACCCGTGTACTCAAATTTGGGTGCACGTTAAAGAACCCCAGGTGGTCGAAATTTCTGGAGCCCTCTGCTATGGCGTCTTTCATATTCATATGGGGGTTTTAGGACGTTAAACCCCACAAATCAATCTATCAATCAAGTTCTGCCAAAGCTAAAATGAGCGGCGTAGGCAGCGTGCTTCCACACGTTGTGCAGCTAAAGACACCACAGACCTCTCATCTCTCGACTATCGCCATAACACCGCCGACCACTCTGCTTTGATGTCACTCATAAAGCAATTCATACGCGAGGAGATCGCCCGGCTGCTATCTATAATCACAACTACTACCGAGCGGATGGCACCCTTGTGGCCTCGGCTTCGCCAGGTCATTGAATAGCAAGTTGCCAGAGCGTTGCCGCCAATTCCGGCTCCACCATCTGTTACCGCTCCACTATTCATATGCAGCCGCTGTTGGTTGGCCACGTGTTCTATCGTCTCCGGCTATCTACGAAGGTACTCGCAACGTTTATTCGTCAACGTCACCTGCCCACCCGTTGACCGTCCTGTCTCCTGCCGTATACGAAACTCGGAACACTTATATGACGTCACCCCCTGCACGGCCGTTTACGGTACCTTATTCAGCGAACAGTGCCCCCACTGTCAGCCAATGGCGCACTCCGCATAATCGGCCAATATGTTTTTCATGTGGCATCCCAGGCCACATAGCTCGTCACTGCCGCCATAGCAGCCTCCCTTCACGTGACATTGGAGGGGACTCGCACTTCATTCCCACTCAGCCGCGATATACCGTTCCTGCCGATCCACCACCGGACGTACGTCCCGGTCGCCAACCATACGGATCAAGCTGTTCGCCTTCTCATCGTCGCCGATCAATTTCTCCAATGTTGCGTCCCAACAGCACACGGCGAGGGGAAAACTTACGGGCGCAGTTCCGTAGGCAAGACAGCAAGGCAGCATGGTCAGGCAGCTTGGGCGAGTCGTGACCCCGACAAGGACGAGTCACATCCCGTGTTGGACGAAGTTTCTTCAATCTACTTCCAAGCGGGGCCACACCACCACAGTCAACACAGTGACAAGATACCTTCGTTTAGGCGGTAAACAGAATGACTATGACGTCACCTGCTACGACACTACTGGCATTCGAACCTGCTGCATCCCGACGCTGAATGCAGTGGTTCTTTACCGCTCACCCACTGCTTGGGTGATGTCTATTGTCCTAGATCATATCGACGGAGGGGCTAGCGCGTGAGTAGTTCAGCAAAAGAAGACGATGAAGAAAGTGTTGGTTTTGAACTGTGGTGGGGGAGTCGCTTTTCTGCGTAACTTTTGGTGACAGTAGTCACAACGTTAACCCATGTTTACAATATTTATGGCTGCTGCGATGATAGCAACAGTCGGCACTTCATAGAGGCACTCTATGGAAGACGACACGTCGTCGACGGCCCTGGTACCTCCTCTCCCGACTACGCCCGAAAGCTTGGGAGAGGCCACGCGAACACGGCCCTCATCAAACTTGCCGCCACCAGCGCCCAATCAGCCTATTCTGTTGGAGCTTGATGCCCAGTGTACGCCAAATCACCCTCAACAGTCAAGCGCTGGTGCCAGTTTAGCTAAACCGGATCGCCTGAAAACTTCGGTTAAGGTGAGGCCCACAGAAAAGCCCTTAAGCAAGATTTCGGAACTCGCATTGCTACCCGCTTGCACTCTCTTGAGGC